ATTTCTTCTATATTTGTAATATGTCTATTCATATTTAATATCTATTTGATCATATTAATTCTTTCTTCTTTTGTTTTACTTAGAACATTATATAATAGAATTCTTGAACTAACTGGTATTTCATTTTTATATAATTTGTTTTCTGGTACTCATATACTTTACTTTAGTGATACTTCTATTATTTCTTTCCATATATATATTTCTTCTTCTAATTTGTATCTCTTTTTTCTTCTTTTCTTTTCTGAAGTTAAGTTTTGTCTAGATACTTTATCATTTATTTCTACTTCTTTAATCTTTTGTATTAGAAGTAATTTCCTTTAAAGTCTTTTTTATAATTAAGTCTTTTATCTATATTATAATTTTCCTGTCTGTTTCTGGTTTTCTTTTTTGTATCATTTAATCATTTTTTTTTATTTGATTCTTTTGTAGTTAATTTACTGAATACTGGTATGGTTATTTCATTTTCTTCTGATATATGCTTCTTTACATTTCTTATACTTTTAATTTTTAAAGAGTTTGGACTTATTCTATTAAGGTTCTCTGCCTATTTCTCTACACTGCTTATACCTTTCTTAACTCTATTGCCTTCATCAAATCAGTTTTTTACAATGCTGTTGTTATATTAAACAAGTTATTTCTATCTGCTAATTCTAATTCTAATTCTTTACTATTTATTTGTTCTAATTCTATACTTGATCTCTCTCTTACTAGTTTTAATGTTATTGAAAATTTTTGTTAATATAAAATAACAAAGCATTGCTTCGTGGCTATACATACATTTAAATTTCGGCTAATTTACATAATCGTGTTAAAATAAAAAATTGTGTACCCTTCTTTATTTCATAAACATTATTGCTAGAACGACAACAGTCAAATAAAAAAAAAGTTAATTCCGAAACGTAGATATTCCGGGTGTTTCAAAAGTTCCACTACACGGTCCCTTTTTTAAAGTAACTTTATATATAAAGATCACGATTCTTATCATAGTAATATATATATATAACTGTATAAAAAAAAAAGGGACCGTGTATTGGAACTTTTGAAACACCCGATATAATAAAAACAGCAGGTGAAACTGGTGCTCATCTAAAATTTGATTGATTGTTATATTAAATTTCACCAGCTTCACCACCGTTCACTATTATTCACCAAAAAGTTTCATCAGCAACTTTATTGTCAACATTATTAGGAATATAACTCAAGAAACCTATTTCTAATTGCATATAATGCATATGACCTCTAGGATCTTCCGGATAAAGTTCAATATTATTGATGGTAGTACGTATTAAACTGACGCATAATTTTAGCCTTAACCTCATCAACTTTGTCTCTCCAATTAGATTATCTCAAAAATCATATATATATATATTTTTTTTTTTACTACAATGACCTAATTATATCTTTTCATTTAGCTAATATGTAATTATAACAACTGATTTTCATTGATGATTTTTGGTGATACTAGGAGGATTAAGTGTAACGATTATATATGAGTGCCAAGGGAAAACCTGTCATCGGGCTTTCAATTATATTCCTTGTCCAGTTTTTGTTCTCAGAACGTCATCTTGGAAAAATCTATCATCGGGTTTAATCAATTATATTTGTACAAATATAATTAAAAGTCCGATGATAGATTTTCTCTTGACAGCATTCTGGAAAAAAACTGAACACAAAATATAATTGAAAGCCCGATGACAGGTTTATTTCTTAACAGTTAATAACATTGTAATTTTAAGGCAAAATTTGATTTACATAAACCCATACACTAACCCTAATATTCCAAAACCACTTAAATTCCGTTTCCACTTCCAACATACTGTATATATATGGGATTCGTTTATCAAGTGTAGTCTAGTTCAAGTTACATATTATGAGTGTTGGTAAAATAAGTTTCATTATTTATTTCGTATTCATAGATATCACATTAAATAACAAATAAAAATAAGTTTATTGTGAAAATTTTTGATGGGGAATTAAGTGATATACATAATAATTTATAAATATTATGCGGCTTCATGATCAGTTTCATGAGCAATTTATGACTAAGAAAAGCAATTAACCAAGTGAATACAATGATTTATAATTATTATGCAGTTTCATAAACGGTTTCATAAGCGATTCATAAACGAATTAATAGTTAAGCCAAATAATTGAACAATTTTTACGATTCAATTACCAGAGATAACAAATTCGTATATGATTATCAACCAATCTTATCTCGAATTTTAGTAAATCGGTCAATCATATTGCAATATATTATAAAGCTAGGCGAAAGCCTTAATGAAAGCATTAATTCATCCGTTAAATTTATTCTCGTTTCATAGAAAGTTAAGCTACCCGAACTTTTAAAAGTAGTATAAACCATATTTAAAAATTATTTATCAATTGTGTTACTACATCGGAATAATCTACGAATTTGAACAGTCACTCCTGTTCGCTTATATGGATCGGAAAAATTGATGTGCAAGTCTCCTAAATTTTTATGCCAATCGATTTTCGGCCGAGATTCTCAAAATCTTTTGACAGTTTGGTCCCTTTTAACAACTGCAAAGGAATATTTTCTTAATGAGATTATTATAAAAAAATTTAAATTGATTTGTCTTCGGGAGATGTGACTAAATTTAACCAGTTTTAGTAATACCAATTGAATACCTAAATTGGATCAACTATAATTTTATGTATTTCATGTATTTCGCAAAATTGCAACATAAATTTTTACTATTGTTAATTTTTCACTATACGTATAGTAGAAAATGTTTCATCCATGCTCTTGGAAGTTGGTTTACCTTCTTTATTTTGTATTCTTACGGACAAAAAAGGTAACATTTCCGAAAATAAAGATAAAACTGCGCATAAATCCTCCGAGTAAATAATTAAGACGCCACAAATGTCGAGGCTTGAATCTTCGGTTATGACACATGAGGCTTGTCGCCGAATTGATAATATCGGCAAAGTAAACAGATGTGAATCTAAAACATTCTCAATGAAAAATACGCGAGTCAGTGTGTTGAAATTTTAAGTGAAACTTCAAGCGAAACATTAAAAAGGAATGGTCAAAGTTTCTTCTAATCATACTTTCAAGAAGTTATAATATCGAGAGTGGTTGGTTACGACTAGTGATGAAGAGAACATTCATATAAACTAGTCACGTAGCAATATTCAAATACCTCAAAGTCTGTATTTCCATGATCTTTGCTTGATGTCGGTTGAGATTGTGGATTAAAATTTTCACAATACGGTTCTGTGTTATTGAGCTAAATTAAGGTCTGTCATGTCTTTGACAGTTGGGGATTTTTTTTCAGAAGCCATAATTTGAAAAGCGCGATAATAATTTTTAAAAAAGTTAAACTTAGTTAACAAAACTTATTCTAATTTTTATTTAACAAGACTAGACCAGGTAAATTCATATCAGTATTGAAAAATTATCAGGTCTGAAAACATTATAAACTATTAGATTTTATATATACAGCAGAAACGTACTTGGTGGTTTTTGGTTTAAAAATGGTATCATTAGTAATTGTCACCTCCTTTTGTTATATTATTTATTACTTTATGTAATAAATTACAATAAAAAATATAACAATTGATCTGTTTAACTGCATTGCTGATTATTATTTATAACTTCTTTGTCTTAAAAATTTCTAATTTTTTGACAAAAAAAAAACTTTTGTACTATATAATTTAAAGCAAATTTCCTAATTTTGTCAATAATTTTATTTACGAATTTTATTCCGATGCTAAATTAAAAAAAAAAAATGCATAGTTAAAAATTTTTTTATATAAAATTTAAACAAATATTTACAGTTAATTGTACTCAATTTGATAGGTAATAGATTACGGTTCCGAATACTGATAGATATATGCTTAATATAACACAACTTTTTTGTACGTATCAAAATTTCTTTTACCAATTATACATCTTCGATACGAACCTCACGTGTTAAGCCTGTGTATATTTATGGAAGATTGTATAGCTTGAAAAAAACTATCCAATAATCTTAAGCTCCGAAATATTATAAAAATGTTTGTTACCAACTATTGGGTCGGTGTTTGTATTATCTTTATGTCGTCCATATGCAGAAGGGAATCGATACCGATACACTGTATTCACATGGTATCATGCGTTTTTTCTTAGAGCATTAGGATTGGAACCTGATTTTTATTGTATATCGATATGTTGTTATTCTTATCATTAAATGGTCATAATTCTATTATTTTTAATGTTGCCTATAATGTAATGATATTATAATGATATCTACTCTATGGAGGAGGTATTTTGCAAGGGTGGGTTATTATATACTGCGCAAACATGAACAAAAAATAGTTACTAAATTAAAAATTTTGGAAGTTTAGAAATCACGGATTATACTGATACACTTACCTAGTATCAAAAATTATAACTACGTATATACTTCTATGTATGTATGTATTAACTATATTAACTATATTAACACGTAATTATTATTATGTAAATAAATTTTCGGATATTAACAATTATAATTCAAACTTCTTTGTACTGTTATCATTCATTAGTTACGACGTCCGGAATTCAAACTGCTAAGATATTATTGGTATTTAAAGTTAAATCCCCGGATAATTAAGTTATAGTTAGATCACTTTTTTTATTTGTCACTCAAAAAATATGTTATCTTCTTTTTGGAACATTTACTGTTTGTACATTGTCAATAGATGATGTGCTTACCGATGACTATAAAGGTAAAGAGTTTATCTATCACTTGTTTAAAGCATGTACAAATTTGTCAATGTGAGTACGTACTACGCACATACGTGATTGTATAATTATTAATACTTATATCAAACCCCCTCTATTTGGAAAATCAAAAAATCAATTTTCTCTTTCCTGTGAGCGTGATCCTAAAAATTAGTTGGTTCGCTTTAATTCATTGCTATCTTATCCTTCAAAATTATTTGGTTTTTTGAAGTGATTTTTTTTTTTTAAAAAAAAAAAGAATTTGTATTTTTATTTATAAAATAACTTAATGTATCGTTCATCATCACCTAGTGGTGCTTCGTCTAATAGTGGCCACAGCGCTGTCTGCCCTATTGAAATTTCTAAAAGTCGTCCTTCTCCAATTTCTTATATCAAAGCTCATAAAAACATATCTTTTTCTTTCCCTGAAAATTCTACCACTTTTCAACATGGTGCTCTCGGAGATTATGATACCTTTCTAATTGGAACTCTTCATTTAAATTATCCAAGAGCTTGTTCTGTAAAAAATGTATTTCTAAATTTTAAAGGAACTGAAAAAACTTGTTGGTCTAAATCTCAGGCTAGGACAAAAATTGTTTATACCGGTGAATATACATTTGTCGACCAATCAAATAAGATATGGGAAGCTTTTGATGATTCTGCCGAAATTCAGACTCTTGATATTCCTTTCAAGATTCAACTTCCTTATAATTTGCTAGAATCTATAAATACTGATTTAGGTTCAGTTCGTCACGTCCTTCGTGCCACTGTTAATATTAAAGGTTTGTTGGGTAAAAGCTCTCATGTAGCAAAGTTACTTTGCCCTCTAAAGCGTATTCTTACTTTGGATCATGCTTCGTCGGCTCCTTACAAAATTGGTGGTGAATCTCAAACTGGAGTTGAATATACTTTCATGTTACCTCCGGGTAAACAATTGAATATCGGTAGTTTCGTTTCTATTCCAATGATGCTACGTTTCTTACGACCTGGTGTTGGTATAGAGAGAGTTGAGGTTTCTTTAAAGACTTCTATGGACTTTCAATGTTCTGATCATAATGAAAAACGTCATTTAGATCAACAGATCGCTGGACTGGTTATCCCGCGTTCTGAACTTCGTTATATGCAGTCTTCAATGCCTCATTATCATTATGGTGAATGTACTCACACTATTAACTTATTTGTTCCTCCCTCCGCTATACCAACTTTTCAAGGGAGGTTCATTAGTATAGCTCATAAATTATCTGTAAATATTAGTCTTTACGGTTGTGTAAGGGGTTTTCTTGTTGAAGAACAGGTTAAGATTGCTAATATAGTCGAAAAGAATGCTCACTCTAAACGTCCTTATTCTCCTTTGTCTGTTGATAATATATCAAGTCCTATTATGGCTTATCCTGAGGGTGTTCCAAGTGAATTCTCTCAATCGCATGATTCTCTTGATTATCAATCTCATAATACACAAATGATGAATCAACTTCGTCAGCAACGTAGTCTTCCAGAATTACCACAAGGAATTCCTGTTGATTATCAACATCAAGGTCCATTTCATTCATCTTTTGAGTATAGGCGAAACTCACCTTTTGACATTAATAGTAGTTATGACCGCATATATGATGGTTATAATATACAATCATCATCAGATACATCAAGTCATATTTATCAACCACATAGTACTTCTTCTCAACAATCTCGTTCTGAACGTTCCGAAACGCCACAAACACCTCCAAATAGTTATTCTGCAACTACTTCACCGAAAGGGTTGCGATCTCTATTTTGAATTATGACATTATTACGTAGTTTGGATTTAGGATTAAGAATTTTTTTTTTTTTTTCACACTTCATTTTGATTAATAACTAAAAAATCAAAGTATCTTTCCCATTTCGATCAAATAGTATAAAATTCAAAAAAAAACCGGTCAATTTATTAAATCAATGCTATAAATTTATTTTAAAGTTTTATTGTCATTTTCAAATTAAAAGTCCAAGAATGGTTTAACGATTAAACAGGATTGTTAAAATAAATTTATATGTTAAATATAATAGTTATGTCAGAAATGTATAAATAAAATAATTATAAATAACAAAAGTTTTTTTTCATATAAAAAAATAAAACTTTGAATCATAAATAATAACTTTTTTTTCGATCAATTTTTTATTAAAGTAAAAAATTCTTTAATTTTTTATTACTTACGTAGTTTTTTTAATGTTAATTGATAAATTAATTATTCTAAATAATGATTCAATTAATTCCCAATTCCAAATGAGCTAAGAGCTAAGAAAAAGAGACCAAATTGACAATTTTTTCAAAATGGATTTTTTTAAGCTTAACTAATTTAAAATTAACTCTGAAACATTTTTCATTTAAGAAAGAAATGTTGTTACATAATAAAATTTTATAGTACGTATAATCTTTTGAAAACTTTATTTTTTCTATAAATTTTAATATAGAATTTATAATATAAAAATCAATTTTTCACAAAATTTATTTTTTTGTCAATTTGGTCCCTTTTCTCAGCACCTAGCCCAAATGATCATCAGAAAGTCATCCGCAAAACAATTGAAACTAGAAAGGAATATTATAACATTCTTAGTAAATTAACACAAAAATCTATAAAAGTAAGGGAGCCAATAATTTGAAATCGTCAATCACATCGATCGAAACATATCAGCTTCTTAATATTGACTACAATACCTAACCGATTACCTGGTTATCAGCGTGTATGAGTTGTTATCGGTCTGGCATGGCTCATGACTGGATTATCCATTTCTATTATTAGTGAGGATCAATGTCTCACTTTATCGTTATTATTCATATCACTATATAATTATTACCGAAATAACGCCTAGGGGTGTATGTTAAAACTTTGGCCCAAATTAAGCTTAATTTAGCCGAATTACGATTAATTCGGCCAAAATTTTAACCTATACCCCGGTGCGTTATTTCGAGACAATACCGATACGGTATATGACAAGAGTTACAAAATAGTGAAATCCGCTATGATCATCACATGTGGGTGAAAAACATAGATTCACCCTGACCGGATCTACAAAGTGGATTTCACTAAGATTTCACCCTGTTCTTATTATTATTATAGATTTTGTAATGGCATAATATCAAAAAAACCATATATAGTTAACATTGTACTTCAATCACTATAAAATGCACCTGCCCAATGACTCAGTAGATTCGATCAACAACGATTCACTACGATCAACATCTTTTTAAAATTTTGTTGGTAAAATTTATAGCTAGGATTAAAAATTAAGGGCTATAATAAGAGCTAGGTAAAAAGTTTTTGGGACGCTTTACCGGGTTTCGAAATCTAACAACTGTATTTAATACATGTTTATAGATCTATATTACTTCATTGATTATAAAAAAGTAGTGTGTAAAAAGGTCACTTAACAAGATGAATAAGGATTTTAAGAATTTCAATTACGTTAATACTGTATAAAAGGATCGTTTACGTAAAAAAATAATCAATCCTTGCGCAGTGATTAGTAAAGTGCACCCTGCTTGTCACTACATTGCATAAACCTACATTATCAGAATAGATTTCAACCAATCGTAGAACACCAAACCTCACGCGCTTTCTTAAATGCGTTTCTTTAAATAAATAAATAACCACTTTCTTGAAGCAAATGTTCACAACTTAAAGCTGAATTCTGCAGTGAAAAATTAATCCATAATTCACAAAATAAAAAATAAACCAGTTTAAGTAGCAGTGATTCTCAAACCCAATTCTTACATGTAAATGATAATTAGCCGTAATATAAATTAAAGGTTTTAAATGTGTTTGACATTAACGACAAATTAAAACCATTTTGCGAAATCTAGTAAATACTATTTGGGATCTACCTAATTCCAAACTGTTCACTGACAAATATGCGCTTGGATGATGTTGGCCATAATATTTCTCTAAATTCTTTATCTTCATACTATTGTACTATCACTATACAGTACCTAACATCATAATCATCATCATTTGGATCTCTCAAATTTAATTATATGGATGCAAACTTACCAAAAAAAGTAAGCTCTTTCAATTAATTCCTTTTGCATATGTTTTTATTTTTTATCTACGTAGCAAATTCAAATAAGTAGATTATATGATTTATCACGTGTGACCTTACCTCCTCTCATATTCATTGTCTGGAGTGTAGCGACAAACCCTTATTGCAAAAAATGGTAATTTGGAAAATTTTTAATTTTGTAATGTAGTGTAACAAAATCATGCAATTTCACGCAATATGACCATCATATGATACGCCTTTTCCTAGTATTTAGCCTTTCTGGTAGTTGATTTTTTCGAATATTCTCTGGTAAGGGCAGTGTCACTTATCGTTATCACCTGCCTTTTTTTTTTTTAGAAAAGTAAAGGGTTTAAATTATAATAAAATAAGAAACTTTATATATTATATGGGTCAGCCTGTACTGTTATGAGGCTTCGGGACATTTTTGATCAAATCTTGATAATTTATTGAATTATATTCTTGAGTAAACGCTCTATCTATGGCAGTAATTAGTAATTTTGTTGATATTTATTATATTATGATTTAGTATATTCGTTCTTTTTTGCATGTAGGTGATCTACATTAATTGGTCAATTAAATCTGTAAATTAGTCATTTCAGGATACATTTAAACAATATTAGATTTAACATCAAGCAATTGATTAAACATTGACTTCTCAATTTAAGAAATTGTACACGAAGCCTCATAACGGTATAGACTGACCAATATAGGGTGCATAAAAGTATTGCCTCACTTCAATATATTAACATTGAATTTTTTTTTTTTAATGTAAATTACAGGACAGCACAAGATATCTACGTAAGTACCAGAGTCCTCGGATTTTTCTACCAACTAAAATAACACAGCGATATTACGATAACCACATATCTAAATACAACCAAAATTGGTTAATTTTAATTCTACATGTCTATAGAATACCAAATAAAAAAAAAATTTTTACCGAGTTTAGTTTGATTTTTTTCGTGATATTGCTTGTGCTATTTTAAATGCTAGAAAAATCCGAGGAGTTTGGTATGTAAGTACTTTTTAGTAAAAGCTCCAAATTTTAAACAATTTTTATTAATAAAAAAGATTAGCCAATCAAAGTTATGTAAGCGTTTATTAAACACCGAATTTCAAAAGTTTATATATTTTAAACTACTGTTACAACTTTTTGAAATTAATAATTCCTCTTTTAAATTTATTAAGATAAAAAAAAAAAATCTACAAAACAGATGGGATGTTTATTTTTAACCTGTTATAAAAAAAGTTATATATAGCAATTTAATAAAATTTCTAATATAAAAATAGGATATCTTATTCTGTTCCATACTACATAATTTAGTTATTTTGAACCCTGTGCTTTAAAAAAAAAAAAAATCATTTCCTAAAATTGTTTAAATTTTTGTTATCAGTTCGGGATAGATACGTATTATTAGGTTATAATTATGAATGACATTTAAGTAGTTAACGGATCCGATTATTATCTTTATTATTATTATTCAAAATATATGTTCTACCAAATCAGTATATCATATGGACAAATCAAAATACCTATTGAAACACAAATTCGCGTGATTTTTTATTTAAATATGTCAGTTACATGTTACGTACGTACCACACATTAGCACTATTCATAGATTTTATACATATATAAGTTACGTATACATTTTTTATTTTTGCTTTATTATGCAGCTATTTTTGTAGAGCTATGTTTGGTCCTGAACCAGACCTAGATTTTGAACTTTTTATGCGCCAAGTCTACTCGCAATGCTTAACAATAGTGTATTGATATTAACTTAATCACCAATCCTAATGCTAACTTTAACAAATCATTTTTATGTGAGAGCCTGTTCCAAATATCCGTATGATAGGACTTATAGGTCTTAGGACCAAGAACTAGACTAACTATTGGTGCAGGCTAGACTTGGCACCTAATGATACGGGTCATGTTGAAAATAATCTATTTAAAATTTTCGAAGCAACTAATCGTTAAATAATTAACTACTAGAAAAAAAAAATTGTAAAGAAATCGTTCGATTGTTAGTTAGTTAGTTAGGTAATTCTTAGCAAACCTAGCATCACCTACAAAAAAAAATACCGCTGACGTCTCTTGTAAATATAATATATTATAATTAATGTTAAATTGAAGATTACATGGTTTTTAAATTGATTACTAATCGATTCGTATATTAAGAAATACGTAAATACTATATAAAATGTGACGTCTGCGGCATTTTTTCTCCTGATGTCTGAATGTTAAATTATTTATTTTTAAATTATCTAACAATCGAGCGATATTTACAAAATTCACAAAATTTTGCAATAAATTATGTGATAACTAATCGCAACTAAGTTCGTGTTATTTCTTAGCACTCGAAGCTAGTTTCGGAAGAACTTAATCTGTAAACTAATTTTGAATTTTTTTAAAAAAAAAATCGGAACTTTGAAACCCGAAACACTGAAGCTGTAATGAAAATTATAATTCATCACTGATGTGATGTATCACATCCCTAATTTCAGCAGCCAAGTTAGGATTAGGTTAGGTGATAATCAAAAAGCCCCTACCTAAAATTGTAAGGGATTTTTTATTTTTTTTTGTTAAGATGGAAAAGGCAATTTCATAATAATATAATCACTTCGATTTTCATATTACACCTGATCCTGTACCTTGATTGGCTGATTAGAGGGTAGCAATGCAAGTACCATACCGCACTGATTAAAAGATCAGAGCCTAAAACAAATACCTAACTAAAAAAAAACCCCAAAAGACCCGTGTATATTGTACGGCAGAGGATCTCTATTACAAATTAGAAATTTTTCAAATGTATATTTGTATGCAGTTTAGGACTTGATATTAATTATTTCATTTTTTATTGTTAAATTTAAAACGTTAATTAAAATGATATATCTTGGTATTTTGAATAACTTAATATTTAATTTACTTATTAACCTTTATATGTAACTAGTTTCTGAAATTTTGAAAACTATATAATTCGAAATTCGAAACTTTCGGATTTGTCAAAAAAGGGTTCAGAGCCACGTATGATGCAGCGTAATTACATTATTACCTTTACACCCGAAGTTACCTCTTATAAGTCTTGTATAACTTTAGTAATGGATAGGTTAAACTATTTTATAGCAATGCTATGTTTATGCTTAAGTAAAAAAATATATATAGTTTGTTACAGTTACGTGTTAAGAGGATTTATGTAGTGATAAAGAGGCAACGGCTAAGTGTATAAGATACAAGTAGTCGTATAACAAATTTATGAGTTATTGTTGTATGAAGACACGATTATTAAACTGTCGGTTTACAAGAGAAATGAGGCTTTTTATACCTTTAGAACCTATAACTGTTAACTATCATATTTACTAGTTCTACCATATCTATTATATTTACATTGAGTGATACAAAAATTACTTTTCTGATATATAAGGTAAAAAGGGGTATTACGAGGGTACCTTTATGTCTGGGCTGAATAAAATCACAGGATCTCGTGTAACAAAACAAACGCGAAAAACATAATATGATAACTAACTTCTGACCTTTAAGTAAAAGTTCTAGAATGAAATTTTACTTATAAGATACAATTGTTAATGTTAGATATATTGGGAATTTTTGTTAATCTTACCTAAAAAATTAAAAAATTCTTAGTATCCTTCAAGCCAATTAGAGATATAATAATTTTTACTGCTTTGTATAAACGAGTAGAGTCGGGAGAATGGACTTATGATCGCAAGAAGGAGGAAAAAAAACTTTGTTGATACATTGAATAGAGTTCTAGATGCTATAATCGATGACGATGAAAGTTTGAAGAAACTTCATAGCTTTGGAATTGGTGACGTATTAACACAACGTGTAAGTTTTTAGATATGATGAATTATTGGTTTTCTTGTGAAGTAATGAAAAATACATATTTGGAAGGAAAGATGCATATAAATATGTTATGTATTCTTTTACTCCTATTACCTAGACTGATAGCATATAAGTGTACTTAATTAGTGAATGCAGTAACTACTTAAGTACATAAAACACCATATGGGCTGTCATCAATACAGCAATAGAAATCAAGCAGATTGACATTTAAAAAAAACCAATACTTTAACTTTTGCTACTCATATCTTGATGAATTTCAATGCTATTTTCATGATTGAATAGCCAAAAGAAAGCTTAGATCTTAAGTTTTCATTTGACTATTCATTTATAAGATTATCTTTAAAATTCAGTGAAATATTAGCAGTGAAAGTTAAGGCATTAACTTTTTTTAAAAATGTCAATCTACTTGATTTCTATTGACGGCAGCCCATATATGGATTATGCTAAGGTTATGTATATATTAGTGGGTGGCCATTCTTGAAATTTATATGAAAAAAGAAAACCAATCTGATCACGTGTATACGTGAATACATTATTTTTTTTATCTAGTTAATTAGTCATATTATTTTATTTTTAACCATAGGTAGAGAAAGCATTTGAATAAGTTCATGCTTTGAAGTTGAAAGCTTTGATTTAATAATAATACTGCTACAGTATTTATAAAAAATAAAAAAATAATAATTAATTAAAATTACGATTATAGAATGTTGAAGAACCAAGCATAGTGGGCTTTTCTGTGATTGGCTATTTTTGCCGATCGTTTTTGATGGCAGCGCAGCAATTTCGTCCAATCACAAACAACGTAAATCATTTTAAAATTATATTTACTAATAATATTATATCGAAAATATGAATAAATTATTGCATTAATTTACTAATATATATAAAAAATATAGTAATTATTATTTATATTAATTTGCTTATAAAGAAAATATGTAGTAATTATTTATTATTTATTTTTTTTTTTTTTAATATTAAGGTGAGTACTTGCAACCCAGGATTTTATTGATAATATATTTGGCTAATGGTTGCATTACAACCACAGGGGGCAACTATGGGAAGAGTGTACAACTAGCCACTTGTACAACTTTAGTTATTGTCTAATTTAAGTAGTCCGCCTAAAGGTTCTACACTAGCTGCCATACCTGGAACCCACTTGTAGGTTCCCTATTTAATCACTCTGTTTCCGTATCCACTTACCTACCTCTGCCTACCAATGATTCTGGCCAATGTTGGTGAAAATATGTCATGTTCACTAAGTCTTTAAAGCAGTTTTTTTGAACCTTTAACTTTGTACTAAACCTTTCAGAATCTTCTGTATCCCATTCTTACAGTTGACCTGGTATTACTATGGCCAAGACCAATACTGACAGTCAGGGCATACTATTAAACTGCTTTTGACTTTGTAGAGTTCACCCTAATCCTGGTACTGACTTCACAACATATCCTTATTACTTTGGTATTCAATTCAAGTTCCACTAAGTTGCCATTCCAGATAGCCTGGAAAGATAGTGTGAAACTATACCTTTGGTTTACATATTTGCTGGCATATACCTTTTTCCTCTAGAACCTGGAAATTCTGATAACCTGGTTGGTTCATCCGGTTCCTCCCTAAAGATCAGCACATTTGCCTAGTTTCACAAGTTCTAGCTCCATTTCACAAATCTAGTCTTTACAATAGCACCATCAAAAGTTCAGGTTATCTCTCTACTCGGGTCTTCCAAGTAGGCTTCCATCTCCTTCTATTGGTTCCTATGATTTACACAGCCATGAGGACTTATTGTAAGTTTGCACCGCCTAGTACCGGTTTGCATTTCTTTGTATAACTACAGACCTTGTCCCAAAGGACAATGTCATGTGACCATTACACAAATGCTATGTAACCTGCCAGTCATGCTGGTGTGACACGGGTTACAAGTATCTTATCTCAACCAATTGCAAAAGACAGTTAATCATAATACAGGGAAGATTTTCAAATTTTCTGGCGACACTGGGATTTGAACTCTGGACCTGCCACTTAAGGGTTGACAACCTGACTACTTTACTAGGTCATCACACTCCCTATTTATTATTTATTAATTGCACACAAAATTATATTGTAAAAGTATTGTAATTTTTTTATTTAAAAAAAATTGTAATTATATTTCTAATTTATATTTTGTTAAAAAGCATATGCTATAAAGATTCTATTAAATTTTATAATATAGTAAAACATAGCAACTCAAATTTCTTTATTATAAGATGTGATGACCTAGTGAAGTGGTTAAGTTGTCAACCTTCAAGTGGCAGATCCAGAGTTCAAATTCCAGTATCAACAGAAAATTTAAAAATCTTCTCAGTGTTATAGTTAACTGTCTCTTGCAATTGGTTGGGATAAGACACTTATTACTTATGTCACATCAGCATAACTGGCAGGTCACATGACATTTATATAACAGTTACATAACATTGTCTTTTGGAACAAGGTTTGTGGTTACACAAAGAAATGCAAACTGGTACCAGGCAGTACAAACCTACAATAAATTCTTATAGCTATGTAAATTATAGAAACCAAAAGAAGAAAGATAGAAGCCTACTTGAAAGACCTGAGTAGAGAGGTAACCCAAACTTTTAATAATGTTACTATAAAGATTAGATCTATAAAACAGAACTAGAATTTGTAAAATTAGGCAAATGTACTGGTCTTTAAGAAGAAATCAGATGAATTAACCAGGCAACTAGAATTGTCAGATTCTGGAGAAAAAGGTTACATGTTAGCAAACATATAAACTAGAGGTGTATAGTTTTGATCTACCTTTCTGAACTATCTGGTTTGGCAACTTGATGAAACTTGAATTGAATACCAAAGTAGTAGAAATATGTTGTAAAGTTAGTATCGAGGTTGGAGTGAACTCTACAAGAGCATAGCAGTTTAATAATACACTCTGATCATCAGTATTAGTCTCAGCTATAGCAATATCAGGTTAGCTATAAGAATAAGATAAAAATTCTAGAAGGTTTAGTACAAGGTCAAAAGTTCTTTATATAAATAAACTACTTTAAAGACTTAGTGGCTATGGTATATTTTTATTGGCATTAGCCAGAATTATTAGTAAATAGAGATAGGTAGGTAAATACAGAAACAAAGTGGTTAAATAAAGAACCTACAAACAGGTTCCAGATATGGCAACTAGTATAGAACCTTTGAACAAACTATTTAAATTAGACAATAACTAAAGTTGTATGAATGACTAGTTGTACACTCTTCCTAGAGTTGCTCTTTGTGGTTATAAAGCATCCATTAGCCAAATATACTATTAATAAAATTTTGGATTACAAGTATTCACCTTAATATTTAAAAAAAAAATTTTATTTATTATATATTTTTTAACAATTTATATAGTTTTTAAATTACTTATTGCTTTTCAAAAAGAATATTTATATTATTATTTAAAAAAACATTTCTATTATCTATATCAGTATTGTTAATAGTTTTGGTATTCAATTTATTTTTATTCTCTTCTATAGTTATACAGTTGAATTTATTTAGAGTTTTCTAATAATTTAAATTTTTTTCAATACTATTTATAAGATAATTAGTACAATACTTATACTAAATAAAAAAGTATTCAAAATAACAAGCATGTTCAAATATTAAAATACAACCTATTTTATAATCATCTATATAATTTTTTAAATTACAATATTTATCTTTTTAGAATAAATATTCTATATTTCAAACTATTACAAATATTTTAATATCAACTTAAACTTCAAATGTTAGAAGTTTATATATTTTTAACTGCATCTTTATATATATATAATAAACTTCAACTTATTAAAATTTTGATATACTTTTATAAAAAAATTTAACAGAAATAATACAATATATTTTTCAAAATATTTTGGTTGTTTTGCAAAATATTTAATATTATAATTCTTAGAAAAAATATTTGTAAAAAATTTTTTATCATGTGTTTAGTCAATTATTTATATTTGTTAAATAATTTGCTCTAAAGTATTTGATTCCTTTTTTGTATTTGTTATTAAAATGAACTATAAAAATTTTTTATATAATAATTGTTAAAGATATAAAAAAAAATTCAAGAGTTTGTAAAATTAGATGATTAGTACTAGACTAAAAATAATATTACAAAAAAATATCAATGCTAATATTTTATAATTTTTATATCTATATTAATAAAAAATAACCTAAATATGAAACAATATCTCTTTATAAGTTGTTCAATTTTCAATATGAAAAATAACAGAATAGAAATTTAGAATCACTAAAATAGTATTATTTAACAAATTAATAAAAAACTAAATTTCCAAAGTCTTTAAACTGTTTGAATTTTTTTAGAATTGTTGAATGTACTTAAGATTATCTCTAAAATGCTAATTTAAGTAATAAATTAATTTTATAAGATTTTTGTTTTTGTGTCAAAACTTTATTATCTTTAAATGCTTCATAATAAGTTAATCAAAAAAAACAATAATTTTTTAAAAAAACCAGTTTTATAATTATTTAAAGATATATACAAAAGACTAATTATTAAAATAATATTCAAATTTTGTTTTAATATTTCAAAATATTTATCAAATTTGTAGTAATAATTAATAACATAACATACATAAAACTGTCTAAAATAATTTATAAATACTACTAATAAATGTATTTTTAAATAGGTTCTTACTTCTAAAATATTTATTATATAGATGTTTAAATACATCTATATAATTTAAAATAGAATAAAGAAACTCTTGTTTTAGATTAATTAGTTTTATATTTTTTATACTTCAATCTGTTCAATATTATTTAATTTTATCATCATAACTGTGAATTAAAAAATATCCAACTTGTTTATTATAAATTATTTATATAGAAATTGAATTAGTAAATGCTTGCCTTTAACCTGTATAACTAAATTATAAATAGGAAAAAAATAATAAATAAGTATTTGATATTATAATATTAGTATCTATATCTCTTTCATTATAAAAACTTTTTTTTTGACCAAATGAAATAAAGGTTGTTTTTGACAAAACTTTTAAAAATATTTTAATAAAATAAACAATATTATATATAGATATCATGTTACTATAACTATGTAAATATTATAAAAATTACTTACATTAAAAACAATAAAATTTTCAAACTATAAAAAAAATTATATAGTTAATTATTTTTTTATAATTACTAAATCTTAGAAAAATATTTTTATACTTATATTTTTCAATAAAAATTTACTTATTCTTGTTAAATGTATTTTTACTTATTGAACTTTCTATTTTGTAATAATCTTACATCTTACTATTACATCTACACTGATCAAAGTTTCTATCATCACTAAGTTTCAGAATATCTATGCTGCAACCTTTGACAATTCGTTTTCATAACAAACAATTCATTCAAAATCAACTGTTATATGCAGTGCATATTGTTAGTAACAAATCTGTACATCCCCTGATCTCGAAGAACTGCCTAAAATAGATAAACAGTGAAGTCCTAAATCAATGCTGCATGAAATCATGACCATAGCCGCTAAGCTCTCAGAACAATTACCATTGTCAGACCCGAAATGATAAAGTAATCTGCATTAACCTGATTGACAAAAGTACAAGCTAAAATAAGTCAATGGGTTAATATTGCCTTGTGAGGTAAAGCTTGTGACCATGTGGGTATGTCTTCAATAGATGGAATGGTTGTGGAAACGTTGATTGAAAAGTAAAAAAAAGCATTGAATGAGCAAGAAGTAAAAGGCTGTGAAAAGTAAAGGATAAAAAGTTAAATCGAAAAAGAATGAATTGGTTTAGGTCCTATGTGAAAAATAGAGAAAAATGATATGGAAACGTTTTTGGATGCCAAATGTTGTTAGGGAAATAAAGGCTGTAAAGGAAAAAGAATTGGTTAAAAGAGAGAAAAAGGCTTGAAGTAATGAAACAAAATGTGTTAGAATAATAGCGAATTTTTTGAAAATGTTCTTCTTGCTACTCTGTAAAAACCTTATAAAAAGGAATCATTTTTGCTTGAATAAAATATGTGCCTTTCTCGCCCTACAAAAAGTAATAAAGTAATAAATAAAGACCACTAAAATTTCTACTCAAAAGAAATAAACTTCATAAAGTAGAACGCTCTTTCAGGACCCCTTCACTTACCCCATCCTAACTCTCTTAATAACGCTCCTTAACCGTCGCCCTAGACCAGTGCCAAATCGTCCCGCCTCTAAGACGTTGAGGAACGTTACGCGGCATAACCATTTGTCAAGCGACAATTCGTCGCATTTCTTAATTACCTTTGTGTGTGTAATACCACCGATTTGCCAGTAACAATATGTAACTATACATTTCAATGATTGACCAATCAGAATCAATGCCCGCTATGCTGATCAATAATATTTATTAGCTATGATCACGCACCGGAAAATTTTTTGAGGTACGGGGGTTTGTAAAACTTAACATCAGAATGGCCTGTACGTATCTTGGTATTTGTAATGAGAAATACTACAGACATAGCAACACGTGATCTAATTTCTTAATGTGTAAATCTACAGACACCTACCAGCTCATGTGAATTTGTACCTACCCTAAGTTAGGGTAGGTAAGTAGGTACAAAAATTACCTGAATTAGTAAGGATTCACGTGAATTGGTAGGTGTCCGTAGACTTACACTTTCTTAATTCTGCCATATTTTAACACTAACCTTAACGATAATGTTGACCATGTTGTGTCATTAAGGTTAGTGCTGGTCATTAGCTGTTTTGATAAGGCTATATGTAATATATTCTAAATATCATGTGATATTAAATTACAGGGGTTATAACTCGAACTATTTTACTTTAAAGTTAAAATAATAAATCATGTATTGGCCACTTAATAAAATTGTGCCTCATGAAAAACGGTTGTGAATATTAAGCAATTACCAGAGATTGTTTGTCTTTATTGGAATTGGGTTTTGTAGAGAAGTAGCAAACGTGATATCGATAAAATATGATTAAAGGTTTAACTTCTGCTATTATGCAAAATGCAAATCTATATAAAATATAAATAAATTAAATAATATCTTCTGCAATAGATTTTGGAGGCAAGCCCTCAAATGCAATTCGGTAAATTGTTGTAAACAATTTAAATCTATATAGACAACAAAAGTTTAGTTGCGATCAGTTAACAGTACTTTTATAATTAAAATAATTAATACATACTCATCATTTAATCCTTTACGCGACAAAACCCTGTTAATTTCTTTTACTGTTAATGTTCCTTGTAATTTTTGACCTTGGAGAAGTTCTTTCTCTAATTGGTCAAAAGGCTATATAAACCAAATCAAAATTTATAAGCGTAAGTATGCAAAATGTAATTAAATCGTAACATGAATTATTACTATTATAAAAACCTTTCCAGTAATAACAAATGATTCTGCGACTTTTCTATTTCTACCGCCATAACTAGTGGCAATGACGTCAGCGATACCACAACTTTCGAAAAAGGTTTCGTCTTTGATTCCACTATAAAACCATTTGATAAATTTTTTCATTTCCAAAAAGCCACTTCTAATAATCGCAGCTTTAGTGTTTTCGCCCAGTTTTAGACCATCAACAATGCCGCCACCAATGGCTATCACATTCTTTAATGCACCACAAAGTTCAACACCAACAACATCATCAACAATACCGACACGAAAGTATCTCGTTTCAAACAATTTTTTAAATAGTTCTCCTTCTTCACGAACATTAAATCCGATCGTAGTTTCAGAAAACTTTTCTTCTGCAATTTCATTTGCGATGTTGGCACCACTTAAGCTACAAACTGATATACTGAGAGACTTGTTGATAACTTCTGACATTGGGCGAATTCCTGCCTCATCGCTTTCAAAACCTTTAATTAGAGAAATTGCTTTCGTACTTGGATGTATTTGACCTTTTAATTTATCACAAATTTCAAACACAAACTATAATAATTTATAATGATATAATGATTACAGTATAAGATTATATTAATTATATAATAAAAATGTATATATAGCTTGATAAAAATCACACCTGATGAGGAATGCAAAATACTAAAATTGTAGCATCATTGACTACATCCAATAAATCAGGAACAGCTTTAACGTTCTCAGGAATTGCAAAGCCGGGTAAATATTTAACATTTTCATGCTTTTCATTTATCAAGTCAGTAAGTTTTCTTCCATTTATTATTTCTTCAAAGACCCACATTTTCACTTCTTGTTGGAATTCATTATACTTTGTAACATTTCCTCCAATAATCCTTGAGATCACTGTACCCCTGTGAATTTATAATGTATAAAATTGCAGGGGATGAGTTTAACATCAGATACGTACTAATATTGGTTGCTTTTTTATTTTTTGATGGCTTACCAATTTCCAGATCCAATTAACGCAACCTTTTCTCTAGCACCCTCTTTTGTCATGTTTGAAAATATGCGATTTGAAGTGGTATAATGAATAAACTTGTAATGCGATAGTCGTAAAAGACGATTTGATCTAAGACACGGAAGGTGTGAATTTATATATTTTTTTGCGAATAAAAATACGGGAGCCTTTATATATTGTTGGATCATCTTTTAACTATCGAAATGAGTAGGGTTTTATTAATAATTATCCCATAATGATTTAAAATTACGTAATTATTCCTAATTTATATTTCCCATTACCAAGTTTTATCGTCATTCACTTTGACAATTTGCAATTTCTAATAACGAAGATCAATTGTCAATTATGTTATTGTGGCTGCTCCAGTTATCGGCATAAACTTTCAGATTTTTTATTGGTTGCTTATCGCAAGCAGCGATGTTACCCAAAACCATGTGATAATTGGTTTACGTGTTGGCAGCAATAGATGAATAGAGGAATAGAATTTAGAATAGAATAAAATTTTTGTCAATAGAACAAAAATTACCAACAAGATTATAATTAGGTATTAATATAGCAATAAATAAAGGGATGAAAATTTACTATTTCTATCATTGGACATAATTAATCATGACAATACGTTCGTCATGTTTATGTAGCTGAAGTCGTGTGAAAAGCATGGTGGAAATAGTAAATAAATAGAATAATAGAATAGAGCAATAGCCTCTGGACGTTAATCGGATAATTCTCATAGGCAGAAGTTTGTCAGATTGGCTGATGCATTCAATTTAATTTTACATTATTTATACAGTTTAGAATACTTTTTAAAAAAACGAAAACCAACCATAATAAAGTAAAAAAAAAACATATAGAAGGTTTCATTAGAGCTGTAGGACTCTATAACCAAAAATAAGATCTAATTCTCGTCCGTTTAAAAAAGTTAGTATAGTAATAACTTCTAATTTTTTTAAACGGACGAGAATTAGATCTTATTTTTGACTATGGAGTCCTACAACTCTAATGAAACCTTCTATATGTTTTTTTTTACGTTATTATGGTTGGTTTTCGTTTTTTTAAAAAGTATTCTAAACTGTATAAATAATGTAAAATTAAATTGAATTTTTTACCCAATCAGACGAATTTTTGTCTATGAGGATGATTCGGATTCGGACCTGTGAAGCACTAATACAAGCCTAATGCAAGCTAGCTGATATGATGCAAGATTACGATCTGAGCAACTTTACTTTATTGGTTAGCGGCATAATTAATTAGGTCCGGAAACTCGGGTTACACGGATCGATCTACTGTATTACCTTGAAATAACACCCCGGGTGTAGGTTAAAATTTTGACCCGAATTAAGCTTAATGCGGGCCAAATTTTTAGCCTACTCCCTGGGGCGTTATTTCGAGGTAATACAGTATTAGCTACCTAAAATAACTCCCAATTGAATTAATGGGCTTCTTCTCTCATTTAAGCTATTAAAAAACATGATAAAGCATATATAGACCAATAAAACTATACGTATAAAAGTTAGGCATATACCTGTGGCGTAGGTACGTAATACGCACGAACGGGTGAATTTATAAATATTTATATTATATTATAATTCAATGTTAATCATATTGTATGTACACTCTCCTGACAAAAGTCACCGGCTTGTGGACCATTTTTATAATAAAACATATTGAAATTTTTACGCCATAAGTAAGGTTGAAATTTTTATTATCGAATATAATTTTAATTTATAATAAAAAATTTAACTGTTTTATTATAAAAATGATCTACAAGCCGGTGACTTTTGTCAGGGGAGTGTATTTGTTTTGCCGGCACAGCATTTACTGCGGTAAGTTCAGAAAAATAGTCTTTAATGAGATCCGAAGAATGTTATATAATAACTAAATTCAGGCTACCACCATATTGGACTACAAGGTCGGGGTTACGGATTAACTTCCCGATGTCCATTTTTCTGAAATATCATTTTATTAACAGAAAGAAATAGATTTGAGTCATTCATTTTACCGACAATTTATTTCACCGATAGCTCATTTCATCGACAAGTTTTTTTAAAAAATTGCACTAACCTTAACTCTAATTCTAACCTGACCTTAACGAATTACTTTGTCGGTGAAATAAACTGTCGGTGAATTTGAATGGACCAGAAATGGGAAAAAGGGATATCGGAATTATGGACTCAGAGAAACTCATAAGTCCAACTTTAAAATCAAACTAACAATATCGTCTTTTAAAAAGTGTTGAGCTTTAAGTCCGTACCCTTCTGGATAAATAAAGCATTATTTTACTAATCTATTTAAAATGATGTCCAGAGGGTTATATATAATTCGAGACTAAATCTGACTCAAGTATATCATAATATGGATTAATTAATTGCCTAACCCTAAAATTCAAAACCATAATTAATTTTCTATTCGAGTCGACCACCAATTGATGAATAATCGTCCATTACATTATCACATGTTCTTCCTTTAGTGGTCGTCAGAACCGGTCATTTAAAAAATATCATGATTGACATTATATTAATGTATTCAAAAAAGACTTTGTGGCATTTTTTCAATTTAGTTAGATAGCCATCTTATATTCGTTGTATTTTATGAAATTCGATCAAGGGAAGTATATCAAAAAATTAAAATATGTCCCACGAAATATGAAGTGGCTACCATATTATAATCACAGGACTCAAAAAAAATTATAAAGACCATCGATCCAATTAAATCGGAAAGAGAAGAGTGATAAAAACATAGGTATTGGTACAGTATATTATATATTTAAAGTTAATACTCGCCATTTTTGTAGAATAATTTCAGCCCAACTGTTCTACGTAATCTTGATTGAGAAAGCTTATCGCTAAGTTGGTATGTAATCATAGTAGGCTCATAGGCAGAAGTTTGGCTAATAAATTCAATTTAATTTTACATTATTTATACAGTTTGGAGTACTTTTTAAAAAACGAAAACTAATAGTGAAATAAAAAGCTGTATATAAGGTTTTATTAGAGCTGTAGGACTTCATAGCCAAAAATAAGATCTAATTCTCGTCCATTTAAAAAAGTTAGTATAGTAATAACTTCCCAAAACCCGATAAAATCAATTTATTATTAAGCTAATTTTTTTAAACGGACGAGAATTGGATCTTATTTTTGACTATGGAGTCCTACAGCTCTAATGAAACCTTCTATATGTTTTTTTTTTTTTTTATTGTGGTTGGTTTTCGTTTTTTAAAAAAGTATTCTAAACTGTATAAATAATGTAAAATTAAATTGAATTTATTAGCCAATCAAACGAACTTCTGCCTATGAATTGTAGGCTTGATCTATCGTAGTGATTATATCATCTATTTGATTTGGTTTAAGTCCAAAGCATTCGTTTCTAAAACGACTTAGTAAGAATCTTTTCAAATATTCTGTTCCAAATTGAGTGACTTTCCCAAATCAACAATGTGACACCAAAATGGGTCCAATAAAGGAAACTTAAAATTTTCTTGACGATAATAAGAAAGTTTGTTTAAGCCGTTAAAAAAACATCTGGGATTACTGCTCTATATTTATTTTAAAGTATGATATTAGATGATTAATATTTCTAATAAACTTTATATATCAATAATTTTACCTTTTGTGCTAAATAGTATTTGATTGTGGCAACCTTTTGTTTTTGTTAAACAACAGATATAAAGATTATGGACAAATTTCAAAATAGTGTCAATTTCACTTAGGTTTTTACAACCGATCAAACCTTTTTGAATGCTTGTCAGCGCATCTAAATTATTTAATCTGCTAGGTCTGTAGGTATTAATTAATATATGGACTTAATTAGACATCGCGCCCTGCAAAATAGATATTCTTCGCACCTAGGGGGCGATGTGATTAAATATCGCATGTTCTAGAAGTTAAAACGGTTTTATTTTTTATATATTAAAACCGATTCTAATATATAAAAAATAAAGTTGACTTTAACTTTTTTCAAATTAGTTTAATTAACGAATGTAAAATCAGAATCGCATAGCACTAGAAATGTTAAGTTTTTAAATTTCGCATACAATTATCACTCATATATATACACGTTAATATGAATATATTCACCCGAAATACTAAAATTCTGGATAAAACCCCAATTAGCACTAATAAATCTTAAAATCAAAGATGCTCAGTAACAGATATAAATAGTAGTATCGCTTAATGCTGGCCAAGCTCAGATGTATTAAACTCGAAAACTTTAAAAGCATTAATTAACAATTCAAAAGCAAAAGTAAAGGATAAAAAACCAGCCTAAAAAAAATTTTTGAGCTAATGCTAACTAATAACAAATATTGAACCCTAATCTACGCTAATGCAAAATTTTCAAATTAAACAATATGTACATATGTATCAGATATATACCAATACGTACCAAATATGTACACTCTATTTGTTGCCCTTGCCTTTTTTCTTGCCTTTTCCTCTTTCTCTTCATTTATGATAGGCTGCATTGTGACCCACTTTTCCACATTGACAACACTTATATGAGTTTCTGAAAGAAGTTTTTCCCTGACTTTGTTCTTTTTTTATGTTATTTTTATAACAACACTTAGATGGTCATCTTTTTTCAATAATATAAAGAAGATTTTGAACATTTTGTGAAACTTGGATATTAGTTCATTATCAGTAGAATTATTATCATTTTCTCCTTCTGATATAGCTTTATTTTCTTCTTTTGATATAGCTTGATTCTCTTCTGATATAGCTTGATTTTCTTCTTCCAATATAGCTTGATCTTCTCTTTCCGATATAGCTTGATCTTCTTCTGATATAGCTTGATTTTTGTTCACAATATTGTCATTTTCTTTTTTGTTATTTTGAGTATCATCATTGCATGTATTTACTTCATTCTTTTTTTTCATTATATAGTTCTGAAGAATTTTAATAATTTCACTATCTTCAGTATTCACTAGCAACAATGTTATTTCACGAGCTAATCCTCAAATTTTGCCATATTGATTTCTTTTTTGTAAAGTTTTTTTCATAATCAGAGTTATAAGTAGGACTGTTGAATTGGAAGAACTTCTTTACTATAACATACTTTATTATTAATTCCTTTTTCATGATTAAATATAATATTCTTGTCTTTATACATTTTATTCTCTTGATAGAAATCTTTGTACCATCATGAGGGAATCATTGATATATAAAAGGTTACAACTTTAGAATACATCATTATACAGAAATAATACTGACAGATAAGTCTTCTTGAAATAATCATAAGACATGAGCATAAAAAGGATACTGGATTTAAGATAATTATAAAATGTATACAATATCTTTTTTCATTACAGATATCAGAAATCTTCCAGATTTCTTTTATCTTTTCATTTTCAACTTCATCTATTATAGACTAAAAAGTAATTTGATATGCATCATAATTGTCTTTAAGAAATCTACATAAAGTTTCTTTGTCAATTTTTTGTTCAGAATTAAGTTCATAAGACATTGATACAATCTGATTAGCTATAAGAAATAAGGATTCTGCCATTTTATTTTTAATTCTGTTATTAATAATATCCATGAGGTATTTGTCAATGTTTTTGGTTACTGCTAGAAAAAGAGCATGTCCAGGAGTAGAAACAGTGGGAAATGTCATTGAATCTTTATATAGATAAAATCTATTCTATTATGTCTCCGCCTTTAGCTATTGATCAAGACAATTTGCAAGTTCAGTTAATATACAATTGAATTTGATTTCTCTTTTAATGACTTAATTATAAGATTCAATACAAGCTGTACTTTCTATTTCAGCTGTAAATATTTTTGACAGATAAGCACAAGCCTAGGACTAACTACTTGGATGCAGAACACATAACAAATAATTCTTGGTCATTGGATACTTATTGAACATATTATTTCAATGTTTTTAAAAAAGTGGTTCGCAGAGACTGTTATGATACTGATAAAAAGTTTTTATAAAATCTTTTCACTTATTACTTATTTTAAATTTGAGATTTTTAGGCAAATTCTGTTCTATATGAAAAATACAATACATAGCATATGTTTTGAAAAAAATAATACGAATTGCAGCATCAAGTGCAGGGACTGTATTAGTGAACATAACCAAAGGCTCTGTTTGTGTTGCATTCTTTATGCAGGTTAGAATCCAAGTATAGGTATCAAGAGTCTCATTGCTTACTAAGACTTAACAAACAAGTCTTGTTTTTTTATAATTATTAATAACTATAAATAACTCTAAAGGCATTTGATATAAATTTGTTTTTGCTATAGTATCATTTTTTTTTTTTTTTTTTGCTTTCACTAAGGCTGTAGTTATCAGTAGCTATTGTTTTTATTGTATTTTAATTATAATTACATAACTTATACAAGGTGAATATACAACTAGTCACATGTACAACTTTTGGTTGTCTAATTTAAGTAGTCTGTCCATATAGCAGGTTCTACACTAGCTGTCATACCTACAAACTACTAGGAGATTACCTATTTTAAACACTCTGATCCTTATACTTATACTGACAAATAGTGCACAAGTTCCTATATATCTAAGTGCCATCTAACCTAATCATAACCTTTCTGTCTGTACATCCATCAAGCCATTACATATTTCAGAGTACATTACCTAACTGTAGGGCTCCAAAAGGCCCTCTGCTAACTAACTACTCATATTTAGTATCTTGTTAACAGGGTTCACCCTTGCAGATTCACCCAGATCTTAGCACTAACTTTACAGCATATCCCTAGTATTTTAGTATACCTCTGTTTCTGACCTCAGACTCCTAATCCAGATAGCCTGTAGAACTATAACCTGTTCTTGGTATCCCAGAGTCTGCCCTTTAAGGTCCTTTTTCTCTGGTTCAAGACTTCCAGTAGTCTGATTGGTAGTATCCCTTAGCTGAGGTTCTTGCCTATCCGATTTCTTTCACATTGGTATCTGTTTCCTAGATCTAGTCTTTACAGTAATACTGTTAAAGATCTGTGTTACCTCTTTACTCAGGTCTTCCCAAGTGGGCTCCGGTTATCCCAGTTTACAGATTTATATAGCCACAGATGCTCTATGATCTGCCAGTTATCTGATGCAACCATGTTACAGGTACTGATCCCAACTGATCGATAGATAGCCATTGCTATAGTACTAGTTTCAAAGACTTATCTTGTGTTTGCACTGCCCAATACTGGTTTGCATTCTTCTGTATAACTCTAGAATTGCACAAATGCCCATATACACTGATGTAACATAGGTAGTTTTTCAAATTTTTGTTGTCAGTAGGTTTTGAACTTCCAACCTACCACTTGGAGGGTTGACAACTTATCTACTTTATTAAGTCACCACACCTCCTGCTATGTTATTATTAATAACTATATCATAATATTTTAACTACAAGTTAGTTTGTCTAAGTAACATCCAAAATAGTTATATAAGCCTATTCTCTTTATCTAATTTAAATTCTATGCATCACCTAGGATCATTCATCTTGTTGGCTAATAAGTAATTAAGCAGGTCTAATGCATCAGTTATTCTATTTACTGTTTCTTTTCTTTTAAATTTTTGAATAGCATTGTTAAGATCACTATTATAGAAATGCAAATCAGGAAAACATCCTTTTAGTAGATTCCACTGTGCTGTAATAGAAAGGCACTCATATTTTGTTATAATTTCTACTTCTCTTAATGCATCTTCAGTAAGAGTGCAGTATTTATTTCTGAATTCTTGTGTATCAAAGGTAATATTATAGTTATGTTCATTTACAAATATAGTAATAGATATAAGAGTTTCAGCTTCCCTATAAGAAAGATTTATGTGCCATGGACAATTAATCTTTTTAGTTTTTGTAATTCTTTGTTTTCTTTGTTGATTCTTATTGGGTTTGTATTTTTCTCAAAATTTACAAGTAAATGTTTGTTTATAAACTACTCTAGCTTTATTTTTATCTAGATGATATTTAATTACTGTAAAACCATTTCTTCTTCTATATTCTTCTAAGAAAGTTTCAACATTCATCCAAGAATCAAATACAGTACATTTGGGTATGCTTTCTGAAGTCACCATAACTTTACATTCTTTATTAGCCAATGATGCATCCTTATCATGTTCTTTAGAGTTAATATTTATTTGATGGTAAGTTAATATCTTATTATAATACTTCATATTATAGTCATAATTATTGAATAATGCTTGGGCAGAATATTCAATGATATTATCAAAGCAGATATATCTTTTCATATTTATCAATTCAGCCAGATCATAATTTGAAGGATTTTGGTAATAGTTTTGTATAGTAGCATGTTTATTATGATGATAATTTGAGAGAAGGTGATAAAAAAAAATCAAATTCATGAAATCTGAATTTGCATTATATATGATCTCTAAATTGTTTAGTATGCGATAAAATTAGTATATTACTTTATGATGTAAATATAGTATGCGATAAAATTAGTGTATTGCATTATGATGTAAGTTATTAAGTTCCTATTTATTTTGGTATGCAATCTCGCAATGTATATTATATGATGCCGCTACTGTATGATATAAGAGTGACTTCATTTATAATATATTATAGGCGAAACACTCTTTTATTATGAGCAACAGTATTTTTGATTAAAGCTTCATAGTTACATGATTGCATGCAGCAAAATATAATAAATCTTGGATTTATAATTCTTATAGCAGGGTGATATATAATGGCATCACAGAGTGCAATATATATATTTATTCTTAATATATAGTTAGTCATTTAAATAAAATATAAAGATGAAATAGTAAAATTTGGCATTCCTGTTATTTTATCTAATTCACTTATAAAATCAGTATGCATATATATGCATATGTGTTATTTTTTTTATAAATCACATATGCATATATATATATTAAATATATAATCAATTCGGTAGAATGAATGTAATAAAGTTTTAAATTTTCATACTAGTTCTGTGTGGTAAACATGAACTCTTAAAAAAAAACCTTAGTTCTTTCAAAAAATCCAGTGCATGAACATATTTAGAAGAAATTACAAATACGAATAAAGTTTAATTCTTGAAAATTATGATTAATTTGTTAAAGCTTTAAAAAACTCAGCTCATAAATTGCATATAAATATTTTTTTATTATAATATTTTACAATTTAATAGCAACCAACTTGATAATTAAAGATTAATTTAGTTCAAATTATGTTAAGAGTATGTCATATCAGAGTTATCTAAACATCAAATATACAGTATATCAAGGTTACATATTAATGCAATTATTAATATTTTTAGTATTTTTATCAGCATATGCTTGGAATTTAAAAATTTTATTTTATTTTATATAAAATTCAAAATACTAATTGAATTTTCTGAAAGAGTTGTCATCTATCTGTAAGAATATTTTTATATACAGAAAAGCTTTACTCAACATCAACTTCTAAAACAGGAAACCAAATATAAAACAAGGTTATTTGTGATAAACTAAAAAGACAACTAGTTTTTTTTTCTAATAAGAATCTAAATCAAATTCACTATTATAATTAAAATTTTCATTCAGATTACAATAAATCTCCCATTCATATATAATTGTATAATTTGGATTTTTGAATTCAAGAATATATTTATACAAATTAAATATCTTGTCTACTTTGTTGTGAATAAAAATACTGAAGGTCAAAACATTATATCATCTTAAATAAAGATAAGACAGAATATTGATCAATGTGTTTTTTAAATTTATTTAATGTTAATTGATATGCCACTCAAAATCTGATTATATATTGTAAGGAATCTAAATGCAATGTATTAAATTTAGTTAGTATTTTATTATTTAAAAGTGAATTAATTATATTAGATTGTAGTTATGTTTTAAATTGTATTAAATGATTCAATACAAAAGATGTCACAAGTTTGTTATAAAGTTTAAAAAATTTTAAGATATTAAAAAGATTAAATATATAAAAAAAAATTAATATTTATATATATTTAAAATATTTTTTTAAAAAAAATTATTATTATATACTATTACATATCTTTATACAGTATTGTTATATCTACTATGTTCAAGATTTTTTTGATTATGTTCAATATTTAAACATTCATATGCTTAAAAATATATACAGTATATACAAGTATTATAAATTAATATATTAATTTAAAAAATATATAATTATATATTTTTTATAATACTGAATATTTTTATTTAGAAAATTAAAATAGATTAATTTAATAAATTTTAAATAATTTTAATTTATTTATTTGTTTAAAAAATATCCAAAAGTGTTCAAACCATGATCACAACTGTCTTGTAACAACATTGCCTTTATATATTAAATATAATAAATATAGTTAAAATTTTAAATTCAGATACAAGTAAAGAATTCTTAAAAATAAATATTAATTTATAAACTATTTTGTTTTTATTACTATAAACTTCTTATTAAAATAAAAACTTATTAGTTAAAAAATATATTTGTCAATTAAAAAAACCAAGAATTTCATCTTGTTTTAATATAAAATAGAAGTAAAGTTAACAATATATTAAGATTTTGTAAATTTAAAAAGAAAATTTATTATTTTTTATATATATTATTATATATAAATAAGACTTTAATTTGCATAGCTACTTTGTATAATAATTTAAAATTTTTGTAATTCAACTATGTTTTACTAATAAAATTTAATATATATAGCAAACAACAATTATGTTTCATAATAAGGATAGTAATCCTAGTCAGTGTTGTTATAGGACAGCTTTGAACAAATTGTAGACAATTGTAGACAATTTTGGACAAAAAAACAAATCTAAATTACTCAAAATTTTATTAAAATAACCTATTTTAATTTTTAAATAAAAATATTTAGAACTATAAAAAATATATAATCATATCTTTTTTAAACTAATTTATTAAATTTTAAAGTCTAAAATTTCTTTGGACAATTGTGGACAGTATGAATATTTGGATGTGAACAAAGGCAAAAAAAGTCTTGGACATAGTAGATATAACAACACTGATCCTAGTGTAGTGATTGGGTTGTTATCTTTCAAGTAGCAGGTTTAAGGTTCAAATTCCATCTATAACAAAATTTAGAAATTAATCTATATTACAGAAACTGTCTCCTGTCGATTGGTTGGCCTTATGTGGCTGTAATCCAGATACATCAAGTTAGGTTCTACTTGTCATTAGGAGCTTGGGGCATTTATGCAAAGTATAATATTATATGTACATAGAAGAATGTTAATAACTGATATTGCATAAGACTTTAGTACAAACCTATAATAAAACTACTGAGTGCAGAAAATGAAGAAACTAAGAAGATAGAATTCTACTTAGAAATTCTCAAATAAAGAGATAGCATAAACTTTAATAGTACTGTTAGACTAATAGAAGTCTATGAAACACCTTCATAGAAACAGGCAGATAAACTGAATGACAAGATGTGTAGAGAAGCATATAATCAACTAGGCTGCCAGAATCACTAAAGAAAAAAAATACTAAAGTATATCATACTGGGCCATCTGGATTAGAAATCTAGGAAGTCTGCCAGTTCTAAGTTGTGATTAGTAAAAGATAATGAAAAAGATATTAGAAAGATAGATACTAAAATTTGGGTAAACTTTACAAGCATAAAAATAGTATACTATAGTAGTTTAAAATTAGCACTAACTGCAAATATTAGATAACTATAATATGTTACATAAAACTAGATTAGCTATATATAGAATATAGAAGGCTCTAGTAATAATACTTCTAAAGATACACTGTATAAAATAAGGTATAAGGTCTTAAGAATATAGGTAAGCATCTAAACCTTCTTAACTAACTTACATAGTGAATATGATCTAGTAATACAGTATTACAATATAGATTTTAGTATAGTATATTATATAGTAATATTAGTAGTTATATATATATTTATTATTGTATTTTATATCTTATATTTATTATTAGTTATTAGTTATTAGTTAGTTGATAGTTATATTATATAGTAGATAGATAAAAGGATCTTAATTGGTTATTAAAAATATGATACAACTATATAACATTGAGTAACATCTATAATATTACTATTAGCTTACAAATCCTAAGTACTTTTGTACAAGTTTTATATATTCTAGTACCAAATTACTGTGCCAAGTGCTATAGTACAAGAATTTCAAATATCCTCAACATGAATCTCAAGTGTTCCTGCATGAACTTCAAATATTTCTGCACAAATTCCAAGTGCCTTTGCACAGATCCAAATGCCTAAACACAAGCCCCAAGTGTTTCAAGTACAAATAACAAATGATATAAACAATATTACCAATTACCTTAGCACAGTCTTCATTATTCTAAACATAGTATCATTTAATGCTGTTTGAACCTCTACTATTTCAAATACAATGATATCTAATGTTGCTTGAACTCCTATTACTCTGAGTACAATATCAAGTAATGTTGCTCAAATCCTTACTATTTTTGCTAGGTAAAAAGATATATAAAGAGTACTTTTTACTCTTTTTTGCTAATTTTAAGTTCCTATACTTCAACCTAGACCTTTCTACCTTTACTTCTAACTTGTAAAAATGATATTTCTCTTTTAGAATAATTCCAACAGGCAAGATTGTTACTGTGTATTTTATTTAATAAAGTTAATCTATATACTATTACTATCTCAAACTATTTGCCTACTGCCATGTAGTAAAGTGAACTACTACATCTTCACTCTGTATATATTTGCAATAGTCAATCATTATACTAGGTGATCTTGTTACTTGGTTGTATTGTACCAAGAAGGCTACAACTCTGTAACATTTTGGTGCCTTCTGGCAGAAAGCTAAAAATTATCTTAAGAAAGCTAATAATATTCTAAAAAAGAAACAGAAACCTCTCTTAAGGAAACTACTTTAGAAAGCAATTTTCTCTTTAGAAAAGATTTTATTTTAGCAGTAATTGTAAAAAAGTATTTTGAAATTTTGGAATTATTATTTTAAATATATCTCTACTAACTCAAATTGAATTAAATTATTTTGTATTTTGCATTTTATATTTTATATTTTGAAATTAAAGAAGTTTATACTTTTATCTTCTATCTTTGAATTTTTGATTTTTAAAATAATCTTGATTTTGATTTTTGATTTTAATTTTTGATTTGATATTACTTATTGGCTGATGAATATATTTTTGAATTGTTTAAACTTTTGATTGATTACTTAAATTTTTTACTTGCTAGCACTATTATTTTAGATTTATTCTTTTGATTTTTAATTATTTTATTTTATTATTTTATTACTTGTTAATACTAACTCTTCTCAAAAAAATTTATTTTATAGAAGAGTTTATTACTCAATTTCATTTAGAAAATATTTGAAAACATCAACAGGTTCATAGTAAAAACTCTTCTCTCATTATTACTGTATTGAAACCCTTTTAATTGATTTATCTTGTTCTCAGTATTAACTACTAACACCTATTCATCTTAACTTTTATAGATGTTTTGCTAAATTTTAGACTTGGTATTTAGAAGTCTTTCACACTACTTCTTTCACTAAAGTTACCCAATCTAACTTTGTAAGACTAGCTATTTATATATGTATAGTTGCTTAAGTTGCTGCTAAAAATATTATTTTCAGTTGTCATTATCAAAATTAGATAACTAATTCTTAAAAAATTACTCAACTTCTCTTTTGGAAATATATCTTTCACCACTTTGTACCAACAATCACTTCTGATCAAAGGTTCTAATTTGATATTTTTATAGATGATCTAGTTAGAGCTTAACAACATATTAAAGCTCTACAAGCTGCTATGTTAGAATTAGTACAAGGTTCTGAAGAAGAAACTAGTGCATCTACTTTTCATCAATCACAACAAGAAATTGCTATTACTATAGAAGAACCCATTACTATTTTTACTTCTTCTATTACTGCTATAGTTACTCCTACTTGAACTTCAATACCTATTATAAATTCTAGCTCTTTAGCATCATAGTGAAGATCAAACCAGTGTATATTATACATTTTTCTGATAAAATAACCCTTCAAAAAGAGGATTATTACTTTTTTTTTTACTCAATCAGAAGCTTTACAAGAAAGAAAAAGTACTCAAGAATCCTTTTATACTCCTACTCAAACTTTTTACATCTCTTGACTTTTAACCTTAACAATATTAAGACTAGTTACTAAATTCACTAACCTTTTAACCAAAGGAATAAATCTTCTTTTACCTCAATCTGATATTGAATCAAGTTCAGAAGAATCTTTTTTTATAACTACTGAAAACTTTACTACAATCAAAAAAAATCTTCTTTAATTTTTGGCTTATTAGAAGCAACTAGCCATTCTAACATCTTAACTGCACAACCAACTATTTTATTATTGAGATACAACCTAACTACTAACAACCAATTGACTCTAAAGATCTTGTTTAAAACTTGAAAACTTACTTCCAAGAAAATACAACTCTAACTGTTAAAGACCTTAAGCTATTAGCAGAACAAACTTATTTTGAAGAAAAACTTTCAGAGAAACAATTCCAAGAAGAAAAACCAGAAAGCTCAAATAAAACTATTATTAATGAACTTGACTCTAAAGATAAAAAAGCCATGAACAACACTATTGCTACAATGAATAGACTAGTTGATACTCTTGAAACTAAAAAGAAATCATTCTTTAAAATTGTACTATTTAAAGATAATAGAACTAAAGACTCAGTTAACTAGATTAATAAATTTAAATAAGCTACTATTGCCAATAGATGGTCTGAAGCTCAACAACTTGCAATTGCTCAGACATATATGAAGAACAATGCAAAAGATTGGCTCAAAAAACTTGGAGATGACTATTTTAGTCATATAATAAAAAAGATAATCTTTGGTTCAAAACTTGATTCTTAGAGCAATTCAAAACAGTCAAAAAGAAAGCTATATGACAACAAGAATTCTTTAACCTTAAACAAGGAACCAATACTATTAATACATATATTGCTTAGTTTAAAAAGCTCAAAAGAAAGGTAGACTCTGATGGAAACTTCTCAAATAACTTTATTGTACAGCTTTTTATTAAAGGATTGTGACCTAAATATGCAATACCTGTACAAGCATCAGTTTCTAATAACTTAGCTGCTGCTATTGAAGGAGCAAAACATTAGAAACTAAAAAAAGTAATAGCTACCTTAGAAAAAGATGATGTTAATGACATTACCAAACAACTAGTACAACTATACATCAACTCAGTCATGATCTAATCTTAACCAAAATCACAAGCTCAACAAACTTCACAACTTTACACAGCCTATATTGCAAAAAGAGAAAATAACTTCAAACTTAACTTTGTATG